TCATGCCGGCCACATGACCACAGAGACGTGTTCGGACAGTGCTGACTCTTTGGCTTTGAAACAGAGATGAGCACCACCCCCTAGAGTTAGGAACGACTAGCACAGTGTTTCTCAACCTTGGTGACTTTAAGTCCTATGGACTTCAACTCCCAGAATCCCCCAGCCAGCATAGCTGGCTGGGGAATTCTGGGAGTTGAAGTCCACAGGACTTAAAGTCACCAAGGTTAAGAAACACTGAGCTAAGCTGTCCTGAATCAAATGTATCATTCATATCTCCACCTACATACAAAAACATCTTTTGGTGTCTCTCCCTCTCTCTCTCTCTCTCTCTCTCTCTCTCTCTCTCTCTCTTTCTCTCTCTCTCTCTCTCTCCCTCCCTCCCTCCCCTCTTTCCATCCAAGAGGTCACCTTGATCCCTTGTAGAACTGACCTTCACCTGTGGAAGTAGGAATTCGCTTCTTCTTGCTTCATTGAGGGACATCAATCCAATTTCGTGAGGAGGAGAGAAAAGGTGGGGAAAGAAGGAAGGAAGGAAATGAGGGATTGATAGAAGAGAGGGAGGGAGGAAATGAGGGAGGGAGAGACTGAGGGGAGGAAGGATGAATGGAAGGAAGGAAGGAGAGGAGAGGGAGGGGAGTGACTGAAGGGAGGGAGGGAGGAAATGAGGGAGGGAGAGACTGAGGGGAGGAAGGATGAATGGAAGGAAGGAAAGGAGAGGGAGGGGAGTGACTGAAGGGAAGGAGGGAGGAAATGAGGGAGTAAGATAATGAGGGAAAGAAGGATGAATGGAAGGAAAGGAGAGGAAGGAGGGGAGTGATTGAGGAAAGGATGGATGGATGGAAGGAAGGAAGGAAGGAAAGGAGAGGGAGGGGAGTGACTGAAGGGAGGGAAGGAGGAAGGAAGGAAGGAAGGAAGGAAGGAAGGGGAGAGGAAGAAATGAACATCACTAGGAAAGAATCCTGCTATCATAAGACAGTTCCATATTGCTATTTTCTTTAGAAGAAGAAGAAAAAAAACACTTTTGGGGAGCGTGTAACAATAGATGAAACCCCGAAGCCAAAACTACAAAGAGATTTATTGCAAAGCTTTGCAGTTCACTTCCCCCACCCCCACTCCCACCCCCACCCTCTCCTCTTTGTACAAGGGGAAAAGAGCAGGGGGGGGATTTCCCTCCCTCCCTCCCCTTAAAATCAATCAGATGCTATTATTCAGCCTAAACCCAAGTTTATTGTCTCCATCTTCCTTTAGAGACTGATTTGATGCCAGGTAGAAAATCGAGTTTCCTTTACATTTCTTTGCCCCCACACACAATTCTTTGGCAGCTCAGGGACATTTGTCTGTGTGGGAAACCCACTTCCTGTCTCAATAAACAAGTACATGGAAGTCTTTTTTTCCTGGGCACATAATAGAGACTTTCTCTCTCTCTCTCTCTCTCTTTTAATTGAATACAAAAAAACACATTCCACACTTAACACATCAATGAACCCACTTAAGCTCTACCGCCTCTGAATTAAAAGGAGAATTGTGTGATCAAAGAGTGTGAAAGAGCCACACATGGAGCACTTCAGACTCTCTACTTTTGTTACATTTGATACATTACAAACCCAATAAATATATGGTTATCTCAGAGGCTGGTTTTCATTATCTCCCAGGCTTCTGTTTAGAAGCATTTCTGGACTGGAGATGAGATCTCTCTCTCTCTTTCTCTCCCCCCTTCCTTTCTTCTTTCTCTCTCTATTCCTCTGTCTCTCTTGCTATTTCTTTCTCTTTGTCTGTCTGTCTCTCTTTCTCTGGATCTCTGTTTCTCTCTCTCTCTCTCTCTCTCTTTCTTTCTTTCTCTCTGTCTATCTCTTCTATATCTTTCTCTCTCTCTTGCTATTTCTTTCTCTTTCTCTCTGTCTCTCTCTTGCTATATCTTTCTCTCTTGCTATTTCTTTCTCTTTCTCTCTCTCTCTCTCTTGCTATATCTTTCTCTCTCTCTTGCTATTTCTTTCTCTGTCTGTTTCTCTCCCTCTCTATTTCTTTCTCCCTTTCCCCTCTTTCTCTTTCTTTCTCTCCCCCTATTTCTTTCTTTTTCTCTCTTCCTGTCTCCCTCTCTCTCCCCCTCTCTATTTCTTTCTCTCTCTCCCCCCATCTATTTCTTTCTCTTTCTCCCCCTCTTTCTCTCTCTTTCTCTCTCCCTTCCTCCCTCCATGATGATTTCCTAACATTTGCAATATTTTAACAAGCATTGTGAACCCTATTTCTATCCCTAGCATAAATAGGACTTCGGCTATATGAATCATGGTCAACAGGTAGCAGTTTCCTAGAGGTTGCAAGTAAATAACTGTATTAATATGCTTGCAATTGTCTCAGACTTTTCAGTTAACAAAAGGAATGCCACATACACATGTGCACACACAAACACACACACACAAATGTATAGGTGTTCTGGGCTTGAAGAAATTAAAAAAAATATAGATACCTGAAATATGTTTGAGAAACCTGCAATAATTTGGTGAAATCCTAGATGAATGCCAACAGAGGGGGAAAATGCTTTGAATAACTGAAGCTGAAGTCATTCTAATGATGCTCTACTCTAGGTTTACATAGCTAGATACTCCGGCTTTTCATTATTGTAACAATGGGGAAACTGACTGTGTTCTTCCTCAATTGTGTTAGGAAAACTGAGAGGACTTAAAAGTAAAGTTAAAAAATAATAATAATAACAACAGGCGTATCCATTAGGCTGTTCCTTCTCAGGTTAAGCGACGTTGTGAAGAGTGCAGAAAAAATTACGACTCAGCCAAAGAAATTAAAGCATGACCAAAACACCCTTCCCTCTACTTCTCCATCTCTTTTTGTGCATGCTTCATCGCTGGAAGTTTTCCAAGAAAAGATTGGGCAACCATCTGAACAGCATAGTCCCAGGGCAAGGGCTGGACTAGAAGACCTCTAAGGTCCCTTCCAGCCCTTGGATTCTATGATTTTATGTTGCTATTTCCGTCTATGCAAACGTCCCTTGCTTCTATCCAATAAAGCTACTGCTTTACATTTTGTTTTTTCCTTCTTTC